GTTTTTCAGCACAGTACCTGCAGATTGACCATTAGAAGAAACTGGAGCGACACTGTCCTCTAGTGTTCATTGCGGAAACAACACCACACATATCTGCTAAATGAAAAGAAAAAGACATTTTTCACTGATTGAAAAACAAAGACACAAATTGTATTAACTGTATTTAACTAACATGCAGACAATCTCCTTAATAAAAAGCTTTTTTTTTATTATGAGAACGAACAGTAACATATGTCACTGCCACTCTACAAATACATTGTTAAAATAACAATGATATTTTGAATTCCCTTAAATGTTGTGACAAAAGTTTGTTTTCAATAAAGCGGTGATCTAAGAGGAATGTGTGTTAGAATTAAGAGTCTGCTGGTTTCGTCTATAATCTGACAAACTCAACTCTGCAATTAAGTAAATTAAGAAAGAAATAGTTTGGTCTTTTATTAAAGAAATGACAGCATATGCAGAACCATCCAGATACATTTGTTTGTCTACAACTTTACGTCTGAGGGATCATTTATTTATTTATTAAATTTATCAATGAACAGGATATGTGAGCAATATCACACTTGTAGCAGTGCGATATGACTGTATATCAGCACTGGTGAGAGGCGTGCCTTAGTGTCCCACCAGTGCTGATATACAGCCATGATCAGCTGTAGTTAAAAATTACGTTTTTTTAATCTTCTAACAGTTTATTATGCGGTCCTGTCGCCATCTTGTGGATGAACATCGTCAACCGTCTTTGGTCTGCTCAATGACAGGCTAATGGCCGCTGACGTGCTCTTAGAAAATATAAATATTTAAAATAGGCACTATCCTTATAAATAAACTGCATTGCAACCTAAACAACTACATTCTTGACTAAAGTAAGCCTCAAAAGTACATTATGTTGCCCAAAAGCAACAATATTTGTTAAACTGCTGTATGTAAGCGGAGTAATACACAAGGCTGAAGAAGCTGACAGAGTGCTGTTGGCTGAGTGACAGAATATCGCAAGGCTATTAGCCAGTCAGATTCAGGAACCAGACAGAAC